GTTTTCTGCTGCTGAGCCCTTCAAGTTCCTTCCATCCAGAGGGGGAGGGGGAAGTCTTTCTCCAGTCCAGTGGCACCTTTAAGACCAAGTTTTATTCAGGAACCAGCTCTGGCTTCTCTGTGAGGGCAGATCTGCTCATCCCCCCCCCATAGCCAGTAAACCAAAACAGTCCAGTGGCACCTTTAAGACCAAGTTTTATTCAGACAACTGGAATGACAGCCCCAGGGTTCAGAATATTTTTTCCCTGTTTTCCTCCTCTAAAAACTAGGTGCGTCTTATGGTCAGGTGCGTCTTATGGTCCGAAAAATACGGTATGTTCAAGTATAAACATGGAAGCAAATATAAGTAATAGGTATTAATAGGTATATATGTAGTCTGGCAATGCGCTTTGTTTTTCAACCATCAGGAAAGTATGTGAAGGTTGGTGATGCTGAGCTATTGAATCACAAGGTCATATTCCAGGAATGAGCCATTCCACCAAAGGAAAACAAAGCTAATAAAAGGACATGAATTTTAAAAGGGCAAAAAGTACAACCAATTGAAGAATGCTTAATTCTTAGATTGTTACTCTGTAATGTACTGTGCAGATTGATGATGATACATGGATAATACTAATAACAATAATAATGATGATAATGAACCATCTGCCTTTTGCTTGATTAACTAATTGATAAAATAATCAATTAATGTTAGTTACTCTGGGCAAACCCTTTATTTATGTTCCATATTGAAAAGTTGAAGGATGCGTAAGATCATTTACAATTGAATAAACAAAAGTTTCCTCTTATTGGCAAAAGATCATGCTTAATATTCACATTTACATTTACATAAGAACAGGACCTCCATGTTCCAAAACCTGTCCGGAAATGAAAATTTGCTTAAAATTGCTGAGGACAGCATTTGCAGGAAGCATCAGTGCATTTTTAGTATAGCTGGTCTACTCTTGTAATATGAATCAGAACCAATATAGCCTGAAAAAATAGACATATGTCCTTAATTTACCATTCCACGGTTTAAAATTGCCCCAATAATCAGCTGACCAATCATGTAATCAATTAATTGATTGATTGGCACATTAAAACTTGCACTAAAAGAGTAAATAGTACTTTTCTCAGCAACACAACATATTAATTATCATTTATTAAAGGCACTGAAATTTTTCCTCATACATGTTTACCTCCATTCTGAGCACATTTCAAAAAGAAATACTATTTCACGTAATGTGTGTTATCCAAAGCTTCCCGATGTTTCTTTATGCATTTTGAGTTCTATATAACAAGAGCTGCCCTATAAGTGTGTGTCTATGTGTGCGTACTTGAGGGGAATCAAATCATCCAGTGCTCATCAAAAACATTTGCTGATGCACAGAAAATAATGGAAGGCCCCATTCTTTTCAGCATCATAAAACGTGAAAAATGCATGAACTAGAAGAAGGTAATTAAAGGCCTGACTATAAAAAATTAAAGGCCTGATTTTATCCATATTCTATGGACCTGCCCAGTTATTGTAACTTTCTTTAAGGATATAGTTATTTGATGAATAAAATATAAGTTGCAATCCTGAATGGGGATCTGCCCAGTGCACAATTATGTACATTTAAACCCCATTAATTCAGTGGAGTTTAAGCTCTAGATTGGAATTCTGCTCTAGATTGCAGCTGTTGTCTATACGAGTAAGTCGAACTCCTTCTTTTCTAAATTTAGGGAGTTAAATCAGTTGAAAATTGAAGGCAATGGGATATATTATCAAACTCTTCAGAAACTGACATGAATACTGAAACTATGATTTTAAGTACTTAATAGAAGAGTGTATATATGAAAGAAAAAAGTTGTCCTACCCTTGTGCCTACATAGCTCCTGAGCACTAAACAGCAGTTACAACCATTTTGGGTTTTTTTTTTTAAATGTTGCTTTTAGATGACCTGGACCAATATAAATGCTTTGCTGAGGTGAGAGGCATCTGTCTCAGGAGGCAGGTTTGGGGTACCTTTTAAGGGAAGACAGGCTGATCTATCGGGAACTTTCCTTGCACGTATTTAGGAATGCAACTGCGGTAGATGGATGAAAATAACACCTGCATAATGTCTGGAGGCCTAAGTGATTCTTTGTGATCAATCCTGGTAGGACGTGAGGTTGCCAGTGGGAAAGTTTACATTTGATCTCTCAGTCTCAACTAGCACACACTTCAAATTCTAACTTTAGACAACTGCTGCTCTACAGGAGAAGATCCCTTCTTGGGATCCTGCTGACTTCCAGACTGCCCTTCCATCTCCCAGCCCTGACTGGAGCCTATCCCAGCTCATCTACACTCTTGCCTAGGGGGTGGGGGTAGGGAGAAGTGCCATGCTGAGCATACTGGTCTGGAGTGCTGCTGTTTGGCACATATGCTGGGTGTTACCTATCCCTGACCTAGTAGATAACAATCTGTGTTACGGAAAGGAGTGCTGTGATTGGGGTTTTCTACCTCAAGCACCAGCATGTATTCAGCCATCCCTGATGGTACATCATGTGCTTACACAACTAGAAAGATTTCTCGCATGCAACTCTAACCCATGAAAGACTTTGTAAAGCATATATTCAATTTTACTTGGGCCAAGGAGAGTGGATCTCATTGGCATCCTTTAAAAAAAAAAGACTTGTGGCCTCTTGAGGACAACTGGGAGAATGTTAATGTATTTGAATTAAGAATATGGTGGTATCGTCTTTTCTTTTTTCTTTTTTTGGAACCACATTTTTGCAGTGCAGGTCTTCTGTTCTCTGAGCAAAGACACCCATTATATTTTTTCTGAAGTGGCACAGCACTGCTTATTTGTGGCAAGAGTAAGCAAATGTGTGTAAAAGCATGAACCGGACTGTACTTTTTGTCTTTACCCTTTCCTACCTGAGTGATAGAATTTGGGCAATAACCAGCAAGTCAGGGCAATCCCGGCCTTTGAACTGGGTAGTGTGTGTTGGGGAACTTCGCTCCGATTGGAAGAAGGCCATCTTGAACTTCTGCCAGCAGTGCTGAAAGAGGCATGAGGGACAAGTGAATCTGAGAGCTGCATCGTGAAAGTGTTAATGGTTTGGATTGCGCTTTAAACCCAGGAAACCACAGCACTCACATGACTTTCAAACAAAACCCCAAAAAACATTTTGTTGAGAAGTTATTTAAAAGAACCATATAATTTAAAACTTGCCTGAAGCAAATATCAATTGGCTATGGGTGAGTACTGAGCAGCCAAACAGCAAATTTTACCTGCTCTGCCTACCCCACCCTCCAACACCTGTTTATTTGCATTGCTGCCACTGTGGCAATATCCTCAGACCATGCTTGAATTCTGGACTGGCAGTCACCACAGTGCCTCGCAGTATTCTCCTCCCAAAGACTCTCTTTATCTCTCTCTGTCTCTCTGCCTTTCAGCAATGCTATAAAATGCCAACTGGCAGCTGCTGTAGTACTTTGGCATGTTTTTGGAATACGTAGTTACGAAGCTGCCTTAGGACTAGTTCCCACAAATAGCAGAGGAGGTGGTAAAACCCTGCCTAGATTGTCTAATGCAGGTGGACAGGCGCATTGCTAAATGTCTCCCCATGAAAAAACATTTTACACACATACAAAACAAGCAACTCCAAGAGAGGTCTGACATCTGCTTG